CCCCCCCCGTAACCAAGGAGCACAATACAGCATTCCATTACATCCGGGGAGGAAAATGAGAGTTGAGTTCCAACGTAACTTGACATTATGCTTTTCATTGTCTGCTTCCAATCTTCTAAATCAGCAAATGACTTTGTGCTAAAAGACTTGCATATGAGGAGGGCAGCATTAATAATGAAGACAAAGGGAACCAAGCCTACACAGGTAAAATACGACATTTATTATGCTAAAGAACAGGTTTTATATTTCATTTCCCCAAAACACTGCAATAGCACACAGCATAGTAATTTAGCACACAATATAAACTGATAGATGCAATCAATAATTCCGAAAATGGTTAAGCCTTACTTTCGGACTCTTTAAAAACTTACGCTCTTAAGTGCCTTTTATCCAAGTGATCAACACACAACAAAAGGTGTTTCTCTCAGAAAAAAAATCTTACTGTAAGAGATACCTCGACTCCTAGAAACTGGAAACCTTCTCTAAGGGAAATGCTTGATTTTCCTCTATAACTGAGCCCCGGCAGACAGGCTCAAGCTCATTTTTTATTCTGAGTAACACTGCTAGGGTTCCTAGCTTGAGAAAGCGTTATCTAAAGGTAAGGTTAATATTGCAACTTTCACCGTAGGGCCTCCATTTAAATTGCATGTCAAGTGGAAGGAAAGGGATGTGAGAAAAGAAATCAGACTTTGCTCAAATTATTCTGCAAAATGCAGAAATGGTAACAGCTTACCATCAACTCAGCCTGGCTCAGAGTCGACTTTACAAATATCTACTTCCATTAGATGGTCAGAGACAGTCTAGAAAGACAGTATCTGGGACAGTAGCCCTTTAGGATGGGTGCTGAAGGTAAATTAAAAACTTTGTTAAATCTTTTGATTCTAATCTGATATTTATATAGGATATATCAATATTCTCCTTGACATGGCTTCCCAATTCTGAGTGTCTTTCAAGCACAATTTAAAACTCAAAAATTTCCTTCTGTATCAACCAGCTTTCCATGAGTTTAAATTCCACTGACTTTAAGTATGTCTGGTCATACAAACCAAAGCAGGAGCTTCATGGCTGCACCCTGTGCATCCAGACTTAATGCAAAAGAAATTATTCTAGGACAACTTTTTAAATTAATCTATTTTTATTGTTCTGCCTGTACCTTAACTATGGCATAAGAGATTTGCTAATTCAGAAGCTTGTAGAGCCAGTAACGCCAGTGGTTCCTGCAGATCATCTGCGGTACTTTTTACTCGTGAAAGCATTTTCTTGTATTCTCCTCTTTGCTCTGAAAACATGGGCTTTGAATGGCCAGGGAATACACATTTTGTCTCATAATTCAAGAATATTTGGGGATGTGCGTGCAGCAGTGCAGACAGGATGGAACGTAGGCAAGAGGGTTCCAACTCAGAGTCCAGCTTCTCCAGAAAAGCACTTGGTGGTTCTTCCTCAGAAATCCCCATTTCTAACCATTTTTGATGGCACGGTAGTCCTGACCCCCAAGGCTTTCCTCTGTGGCTCCATCCTCCGTGGCTGTCGGTGGCCCTGGGCCCACCTCTCAGCCAGTCCCTACCATAAGCTCCCCTGACACCACAGGATGCCCCAGCAAAACGCTCTTCTGTGGGAGCAAAGAACGGATCGACAGTCTTGCTCTGAGCAGCTGCCGGAGCTGAATTTCTTCGTACTGGTTCTTGCAGATATGCGAGCACTTTGTTGCCATCGTGAAGCAAGAGGCTGACCTCACTCAGATCATTTTTCATTTCCAGTGGTAACTCCTCATTTTGTGGAGTTCCATTTACATCAACCGCAGGCTTGTTCATCCTGGAAGTTCTATCTGATGGGCAAGCGCTCTCCTCCTGCATCCTCTTATACAACAGTTCCCTGTACAGTAATTTTTCCGAGTCATCGCCCGCTCCCTTCTCTTCTGCGAGGCAGGTGCTGAGAGTCCCCCTTCCGTCCCTCATGCTGTGTGTTCTCTGACACCCTGAGCCCCAGGACACGCCTGTCAGTCCACGGAAGGCCTTCAATGGATCTCAATATGAACCTGGAAAAGACCAACAAATTAAAGTGTAATAATGAAGACAGGGTCTTAAGAGAGTCCACACACAGCTATTTCCCAACAAATACAAAGATCTCTTTGACAGTCTCCGGTACCCCAAGGATACCTACACTGTGACAGGAAACAGGATATCAACCTATCAACCTACCAACCTACCAATTAGAAACCACAACAAAAAGAACAGTAGTTTATTAATGCAGTGTTTCCTAAAAATACTTAAAAATAATAAAAGTATACATTCTGAGGCTCTGCACTTTTCGTGGCAATATAGTTATTCCTGTAGGTTCGATAAAAAATCTGTCCTCCTGGGGGCTTCCCTGGTGGCACAGTGGTTAAGAATCCACCTGCTTGGGCTTCCCTGGTGGCGCAGTGCTTGAGGGTCCGCCTGCCGATGCAGGGGACGCGGGTTCGTGCCCCATTTCGGGAGGATCCCACATGCCGCGGAGCGGCTGGGCCCGTGGGCCATGGCCGCTGGGCCTGCGCGTCCGGAGCCTGTGCTCCGCAAATGGGAGAGGCCACAACAGTGAGAGGCCCGCATAACGCAAGAAAAAAAAAAAAAAAAAGAATCCACCTGCCAATAGGAGACACGGGTTCGATCCCTGGTCCGGGATGATCCCACATACCGTGGAGCAACTAAGGCCAAGAGCCACAACTACTGAGCCCACGGGTCGCAACTACTGAGCCCATGTGTCGCAACTACTGAAGCACACATGCCTAGAGCCCATGCACCGCCAACGAAGAGGAGCCCCGCTTGCCACAACCAGAGGAAGCCCGCACGCAGCAATGAAGAACCAACGCAGCCAAAAATAAATTTAAAAAATCTGTCCTCCCTTTAACCAGGATAAATTGGATGACACAATTAGGCAACCGAGGTCTTACCAAAGTGTCCTATTTGAGAATGAGTCTCAGTGACTCAGGCACGACAAGCCACTTTTAAGGAATCAAGGGCAACTTTACTTATGGATCCGATGTCTACAAAGCCCTCCCAGGAAAACCAGCCTGGAGGGCTCCTGGGATCCAAGATTCCAGCCTCAGATCACCCGCCGGCTAGTCAGGAATCTCAGCAAATTTCGGAGCCCCCATAAGAGAAGAATTCACCCAGATTTTTATGTACTGCAGGTAAAAATATGGCGGAGAAAGCTTCTTGGGCTTAGTTCTCCACTCTCAGATTCCACATGAAAACTTCTGGACAGAAGTTGATCTGTGACTTCACCAGTTGTTCAAGAGCAAACTCGAGGTGGCCCATGTGGTCACTGACCCTGAGGCACCTGCAAACCCACTGAGACCAGCCTTTTTTCTGTTACCAAGAATAATCTTTCTGTGACACATTATGCTCCAAATGGGGAAGATGTAGGAAAAACTGTGAAAGGCTTTGAAATGGACCCAAAAAACAACACTACTGGGTGTGCTGTCTAGTGCATCCTCTGCGTTATCTAATTTATTTACAGGGCTCCACAACTTTCTCTTTGACGCTTCACAGCTCTAAGTTGTAGAAAACTTAAAAGGCAAGTGATTTCCTGTCCAAAGAAATGGAAATTAATATTGTCCAGAGGAATGCAACGGATTACTGCCCTATGCATATTGACCAGTTTTGCATCTATTTGTAAATTCACTTTAGTATTCCTCACTGTATGTATGTGTTTTGTCTAAATTCTGCTTTACACTGATTATAACATCTTACTAGTTCCCTCCTTAATTGATGACTTTGAAAAAGTGTCTGACACATGTTCCTTTAAAAAGGAGCATACCTCGGAGAGAACACCGATAAATGCTTCAACTTCAAAAATACATACTTTGTATTCAGTAATTTTTCTAAGAGGCTAGCCTAAGGAACAGCAACCTAGCTAAAATGCAGTAACTCTTTTTGGAAGGAGGAGGGATGGAAATGTGGGTTCAGGTAGAAGGCAGCTGCGTCTGACTTCTCCTACAGTAAGACAAAGACTAACTCAAAAAAATGAAAAGTCAAGAAGCAACACTGCGAGCGTGCAATTTAACGACAGAGAAGTAAACACTAAAGAGAACCAGCTGTAGCTGCAAGCAGTCGGCTGGATGGAGAAATGGGAGACAGGAAACTGCTGTTTCTCTTAACTAATCTCATGGCACCGGGAGACTCATTAAGCTTTATGACTGTGTAAGTTTTTTTTAAATTGAAAGAGAGTACACTGGGAAGAAAACACAGCAGGTAAGTATTACTGGAGGCTGAGGGAGGAAGCAAAGAGGGCTGAGCAACGGGGTTGCGGAGCCACTGAGGAGCAGGGCTGACAGTGAGAGGCACGCCCCTGCCCCCACCCCCACCCCGCCACCGGGCTAAGGCAGGGTGGTGGCTAGACTGGAAAGGAATCACCTTAAACAGACCAATTAGGAGGCTATTCTAATACTGCAGGGGAAAAAAGGAAGTAAGCCTGTGAGAGTAAAGAGGGGAGAGAAACTGAAGAATCTTTTTTAAGTTGGTGACTGACTAGGTGCAGAAGGTGACATGACCCGCAGGTCTCCTTTCAGTTCTGGGTAATGAAGGTGTTATTAACCGCAAAGCGGGAGAGCAGCAGGTCTGGAAAGCAGGGAAGATGCTCAGGCTGGGCAGCAGAGCTGGGCTGCGGGCTCTGGCGAACAGGTGGATCAGTAAATCCTCTACCTCAAGACAGAGGTCAGGGCTGGGGACCTCGACTCAGAAGTCGCCAGCTCTGCGGAGGCAGGTAACATGACGGCCCGGTATAACAGGTCAAGAGAGAAGGCAGAGGTACAGAAGACAGGGGTCCCCAGGATCTAAAGGTCGGACGGGCGAGGGGCCCCCCAAAGCCACTAAGGAGGGAGACTCAAAGCGCCTCGGGAGGGCTTCCCTGGTGGCGCAGTGGTTGGGAGTCCGCCTGCCGATGCAGGGGACGCGGGGTTCGTTCCCCGGTCTGGGAAGATCCCACGTGCCGCGGAGCGGCTGGGCCCGTGAGCCATGGCCGCTGAGCCTGCGCGTCCGGAGCCTGTGCTCCGCAGCGGGAGAGGCCGCAACAGTGAGAGGCCCGCGTACCGCAAAAAAAAAAAAAAAGAGCGCTTCAAAAAGAGGGCGGTTACATAGTTCCCTATGTAACGGCGGTTACAAACAACTAAGCGTCAGGTAAACTCTGAAGAACTCTTCACTCCACTAGGCCAGCGGCTGTTCAAGTGGGGTGCCCCCAACTCAAGGAGCATGGGAGAAAATATCAGAACATCTTTGCCTAGTTCATTTTTACCTTGTTCCCCTTGTAACTTTTTCTATGTTTTATAATATATACCATATTTTGGTAGAGCAAAATACATAGTTTATAAAAATAGTATGTATATGCTTATTTATACCATGGAGATATATGTATCTCCACAGGGCATGCTCAAAACTTTTTATCTGTACAAGTGTGACCATTATTACATATAACAACTGATACAAATATATTTGAGCAGTATGAAGCCATATGCAAACATAAGGTGCAATTCTTTTTTTTAAGTTGAGATATAACTAACATAAAATGTATTAATTTCAGGTATACAACATAGTAAGTCGATATTTCTATATATTGCAAAATGATCACAAGTTAACATCCATCACCTCACATAGTTACACTTGTACTTTTAAGAGGTGCAACTCCAGCTACGAATCAAAACAAACACTTTCAAAGTTCACCAAGTCAAATCTAATTAACTTCTCTTGACAGTTCTCTCAAATTAACTCTCCAAAGCATGTTATTTTAAACCTTACATTTATTTTACTGATCTGAAATGTACTAAGAATGAACATTTTCCTGAAATGGAAGCATTCCTAAATATATTTTTAATACATATTAGAACAGGTTTAAAAAAATTCTTAAGAAAAACAGGTCACTTAATGTGCGCCAACTCTCAGGAAAATTAGTTTCTAACTACTTTTATTATGTCCTTGTATGAGGACTTAGTACCATTCAGAAAGATGAAGTGTTGCCAGAATTGTGTTAAAATATTTTGAATAAGATACTATTAATGTAATCATACATTTAATAATGACAGAATAAACTGCTTACTGAAGGTCTCCTAGTTCTTTAGTAAATGCACTAATAAACTATTCAATTACCTTAAGAATACTTCAGCAGGTCAGTAAAACATTTTGGCTCTGAGCCCTCAACCAGCCACCTCTTTTGATATTAGACAGTTACACACATTACTTATATTTTGAGAGCCAGAAATAATTTTCAAGTAATTTCCAAACACGCAGTCATCTGTGAAATATTTTTTGTGGTTTATTCTCACTGTACTTTTGAATACATACATCTTGGCACACTATATCATACCAAATAAAATATGCACAATTATATAACTAACCATCCTCGGCCCCAGCTCTCTCATCATTTCCCACCCCTCAACCCCCATGTTAAGTCTACAAAATAATAAGCAGCATAAGTTATGGCAAACCATCTTATCCACAAAAACTGACACACACCCTCCCTGCCCCAGAATGAGGGAAGTCTATTCTGAAATTCAAGACAGTATGATTCAGGAAAAGCAAAGTGCAGGACTGGGAGTAAATTCCTGAACTTAAACTCTGTACCTCCCCGACAGGTGCCTCCCCCTGCCCCCTCAGAGAATGACAAAGGTTGAAAATGGAACCACAGAGGCCAGAGGGGGTGAGGTGTGCAGGGAGACGAGGTTGTCTGGTGTGTCCACGATCCTCGGGGCGGACAGGAGCAGTCTCTCCCACCAGAGTCCCCACCTGTGGAGGCAGCTGACCTGCTGCGTGACAACAGGCCTGACCCAGTTAGGCAGCTGTGCCCTCTTGGACGGCCAACACCTTACCTTCCCTAACCTGGGCTATTAATGGCCTCAGGGACGTGATGGGCTGGATACCATTGCTCTGGAAACTAAAAATATCCCAGCCTCTGTGCTCCCGAAAGCCAGCTGGCAAGGCTATTC